CTTGCAATTGTAGTCTCAAAAATTGTAACTCTGGTACACAATTCCTTTCAGGCCAGATTCCTCTCCTTCCATGTAACACATGGACAGAGTCCTGCGCTGGCTGAATGTATTGGAGCATCCTTTGGGATTTATTCATGTATGTGGTTTTCTGAGTGTCATGGCTGAGAACAACATAGGGCAGCACAGTTAGTATTCTATTTTTAAAATGTGGATCTTATCCATACTTTAAATTGCAGTAAAGTTATATTTCTTGCCTTTTGTTTAAAAAGTGGAGGAGGCATTAATTTATAGATCACCAAAGTGAAAKTAGAGTGTTTCCATGCCTCAACCATRTGCTTCCCAAGTAAAGTCAGTTAAAAGGCTATTCATTATTAAGGAATTGTTTGTGTGGGAGTGGGGTCAGTTCAAAAAGACAAAAGCCAGCTTGGAATAAGGCAGAGGAAAACCTAAAACAAATCAGCAGGACAAGTTGCAGGACAACCCTAAGTATAGGTTTTGTGCTTTGCGGAAGTACAAGCTTCAGAAGAAATATTGTTGATTATTGATGCTAAGTTGTGGTCATGGAAACAAGTCTTCAATATTAGATCAAAGAGACACCTCACTCCATTATTAGTTTCTCATCAGCAAGTAGCTGTGAAGTCCAAGTTGATCCACTTGCAAAGGAAATAAACCAAAGGATTTGTAGGTTAGACTGGCTCTTCCTCATGGGTGAGGTTCAGACCTCAGAGGATTCACAGCCTGACAAGGCCAGGTCAGTAGTGTGTGGTGTAGGAAGAGACCATATAAAATTTTGTTTTAATCCTTTAAACATTTCTTGATGTGGGAATAAAGGTTTTCCCCCAACCTTTCATAACAGAACATAGGGAAGAAGTATGAAGAGTCCTAAAAYCTGAGTTGCAGGAAATAAGACAGAAGTAGCACAAGGCAGTTTCTTTGCTTTAGTAGTTTACAGAGCAGATTTTATATTAAAGTTGAGGTATGATGGATGCCCACCATAAAACTTTCCATTTATCCAAGCAAACAGAACATGGCAAAGAAGCATGATTCCATATGGAATTGCGGGGTTGGAATCAAAACACCACCTACATCAATGCAACCAGGACCATGGCTTCTTTAACACAATTGTTTTCATGACATTAATTTGCCTACAGATTTTTTAACACTGTTCTGACTCTAGACAGCATAGCCTTCTTTAGCATCTTTCAGATAYAGGAATAGTATTTGGGAAGGCTTAGGGACCAATTTTGCATTTGGAGAAAGTAAGGTATGAGAATGTAAAGTGCTTGCTGAGGGCAGGGCAAGCTGTATGRGATACAGTTTGGCATTTTCTACAGCTGAACACTGAGAATGTAAATAAATGTTTCCTAATAAAGTTTTAGATGGAAACAAAAATTACATAATTTTTAAAAATTTTTTTAAAATTTTTTTTAAAATCCAAAATATATTTTGATTAGTTTATGCTTGTCTTTGAAGAAGATATGAAGACATTTCCCAGTTCTTTGCAGAATAGGCAGTTTGCAGAGCCACCAATTACAAATACCATTTATCAGGGCACTTTTTCTTTTTTAACTTATGAGCTTTGATAGCTCAAATTATCTCTAACACTGAAAAATAACAAGGATTATTTACATTGTAGTTTGCTTGTGTCATGCACATGGTATCTAATTTTCTGTTCTCTGTTACAGAGTCCCCACCTAACCTGAGCCAGCTTCTGCAGACCTGCTTGCTTGAATCTTTCCAGTGCCCCAGGGATTTTCCCTCTCACACTTGTGAGCAGCAGGTTTGCTCAGCTGTGGAACTGCACCCTGGCAGAGTCCAATCTCACCATCTCTGCAGGAGACAGCTTGGGCTGGCACAGAGTGCCACAGAGGTTTAGTGACACTTGGGAACAATGGGACAGAGGTAACAGTTTGAGAATTCCTATTTATATTTCAGTCTTAGGAGTGGGAAGAAGTAATTCCAGAAAATTAAGCTGAGGCTGCCTCTAACCCACCATCCATCAGACTGCTCCTACCAAAGGAAGAAGTTTTACCTCCCATCTGTGGTTCGATGGTGGTGGTAAATGACCAGGCATCCCACCTGAAGTCATCTTGACATGACTGATCTTAAAGAGATCAGTGTCTGCCCCTCCACTTCCCCTAAGGAGGATGTTCTAGACTGCAATGTTCTCCAGACTGAACAGACCAAGTGACTTCAGCGGCTCCTCATAGGGCTTCTCCTCTAGAACCTCCACCATCTCTGTAGCCTTCCTTTGAACACTCTAGATGCTTATATTGTGGCACCTAAAACTGCCCTCAGGACTCAAGGTGAGGCTGCCCCAGCCCTCAGCAGAGCGGGACAATCCCCTCTCTTGCCCAGCTGGCAATGCTGTGTCTGATGCCCACCAGGACAGGTTTGGCCCTTCTGGCTGTCAGGGCACTGCTGACTCACGTTCAGCTTGCCATTGACCAGGATCCCCAGGTCCCTTCCCATGGCACTGCTTACCAGCCTCTCATYCCCCAGTCTGTCCATACATTCAGGGTTGCCTCATATCAGGGGCAGAATTCAGCACTTCCCCTCTGTYAAACTTCGAATGGTTGGTGATTGCCCAGCCCTCTGATTTTCCAGGTCTTTTCAGGGCCTCTCTTCCCCCAAGGGAGTCAGAAACTCCTCCCAATTTTGTGTCCTTGGCAAACTTCRTATCCCTTCCAGTCCTGCRTCCAAGTCATTTATAAGGATGTTGAAGATCACAGGGCTGAGGCTGGAGCCCAGTGGAACCCCACTAGGGACAGGTGGGGTGCAACCCCATCCACTGGAACCCTTTGTGTCGACCCTCGAGCCAATTGCTCACCCTTCACATGATGTGTTTATYCAGCTGTGTGCTGGACATTTTGTCCACAAGGATCCTGGGAGAGACAGTATCGAAAGCTTTACTGAAATCCAAAAGGATTACATAAGTGGCTCATTAACATGTTTAATTAGATCTRTTTATAGGACTAATAAAACTGAGAAGCTTTTAGATACAGAAAACCTTCAAAGATATTTGCAAAAGTATGAAGTTAAAGTGTCCTGTGTTTTTATGGTGAGCTGCTTGCAGCAGGAGCCTGGAGTACTRTGTTAAGGGGCATTAAATCTGATGTCACTGGCAGAGCATCAACATTCCAATAACAAAAGRAGGTCTGGTGGGTCTGTTAAAGCTGGTATGAAAGATCCAGGCTGATATCCAAGTGCTGAGTCACTGAGTCAGAATAAACTCTGCTATCAAAGAATCTTAATGGTTTAAGAACTTTCTGCTCTCCCCTGGGAATATGAAGGAAAGGTCTGGTCACTTCACCTGCTTTAGCTGTCTCAAACATCCAGGCCATTGACTGTGAAGAGAGGAGGAGGGGGCACCTCCAGGACAAATTCATACTGCCCTCTTTGGAGATGTGTTTCAGTAAAGAAGGAACCACCTGCCAGAGCTGTGTCCCAGGGCTGCCTTTCCTTCCCAAGTGCCTCAAYAGCCACCTCACAGATGCCTGAAGTTAAGTAAGATGAATTCAGGCCTAACTGGTAGCTATAACCTAATGATGGAAATAATGTGGCAGCATTCCAGGAGGTATTAGCAATTCACATAGTTCCCAGATTCTTTTTTAAACCATCTTTTATTATTTATGCAGGTCAATTATGCAAAGCCCATCRG